GGCACTGGCTGCGTACGCCGTCTATACGGCACTTTCCTCGCATTTAATGCACCACGTGGGCATCACACAGGGCCCCGTTACACTTCTTTAAATAGCACCGACTGAACCGCCATCATGTCTCCATTATGGTGCTTTTTCTCAAGCGTTCCTCGGCTCGGTCCCACATTTGTTCACTCGGCTTCCAGTTGGACCTCTCACTTTTGGAAGATGTTACGTTTTCACTCACTGGATCGGCCACATGAAAAGCTGCTTTTATATGTACGAGTTTACTGTTTGAAATCAAATCTTACTGTTTTCTGAGCGGGCGGTTTTGTCTGTGTTTGTTGGACAAGCGCCTCTCCTCTGCTCTCGATGCATTGGTCCATTTGGCACGAGCCGTAGGATAAGAGGGCAGCACGGACCTGAGGTCACAGATGATTGGGCACCTTCCATCTAAACGGCTCATCCATAAGGGCATTGTTAAGAGCCAGCGACTCTGAACCGGGATACGTGGTGCTACTCACGTCGAGGGGTATCTGTCTTTGAAACGACGGGCCCATCGGTGCACTATATTCAAGGTTGTGGCATCACAGATTACCAGCACACGCGATTAAACGGGACTCTAGGACCACTGCTCATCGTTCGCCGTCACATTTCCTTCGAGTAAGTTTCACAGGCGTCCAAGGTTTATGGTCGTGCAAGTTGCGGTCGGAGGTAAATACACATCTACCACTACTAGATCATCTTCACAGCTCGGCAAGATGAAGACGGAAAGCCAGAGAGTCTTTTCACATTGTTTGTTCACGTCCCCAATTCTGTTTTTTAAGGAAATAATCAATTAATGCAGCTGACAATGTTGTATTCTGTGCCCTTAAATAAAAGTAGTTGATGGATCAGCAGATATATACCGGTATAAAACAGAGAGACGATCTACATAAATCTCGTCCCTGTTACCTGAGGACACAGATATTTAAATGTTGGATATTCTTTGTCAGTGATGATATTGACATAATATGACCATAATGTATGTGACTTTTAAATGATGTGATAAAATAATGCAAAGATAATGTGAGGTACTGTGAGCAGTTACAGGCAATATGAGTATTTTAAAAAGGATTCTCAGTATTTTTAACTAACGCAAATCAGCAGCTCTGCTTATTAAAACTTTTGCGCCGTGTGGAGCTGTTCCTTTAAACAGTGAGTCACTGTGAACATGTGTCAGTCTGAAAACGTGTCTGTTTCTCTACAGGCTGACGACGTTTCTGCAACTGGAAATCTGTGTCTGCAATCTGATCGTCTTGCTCTCTTCGCCATCAGCTGTGAAGTCGCACATCCTCTGACTGTTTGTAGCGCTTTGGTAAGAACATTAACACTTGGTAGGTACTTGGTAGGACTTATTCATCTAATGGTTATTAGATGAATAAGTCCATTTTTTTCTCGGTGAACTTACTCACAAATTGATTATGTAAGTTAAAAACTGCACAACAACAGCCTGATGCGGAAGGAATAGATGTTTTTTCTCCAAAGAACAAAAACAACGATTTTCCACCGTCCACTAATGAGGAGGGAGTGAAGAAGAGGATGAATAAGAAAAGGCATAACTGTGAGGAATACGGTGAACACAGTGAACCGCGATGAACAAACTTAAGAAAACGCCCCAAATCTCCGGCTCATATCATCCTGTACTCCATTCATACAGTATTAAGCTGGAGGCAATGTTGTTTAGACACACTTTCATTTTTGTCACCAGCACTGGATAAATTGTTGGCTTTGTGTGTGACAATGTTGCAACCACAACATCATTGAACACACTCACACAATTATACGCAGAGTCGTTGTACGTGAAAGCGTAAATAAATGTTTCCCCGCTACACGAGAACTTTCAAGAAGGCCACGTGATGCCGGGAAATCCGTGTGACGATCCGGCGCTCATTATTTTGTCAGATAAAGCGTTCCCTGCAGGGACGTGGCGGCTGCCTCCCGCATCGCAAAGTGGAGCGCTGACAGCTGTGACATCAAATCACTGTTTGAAAGCGTAACTCATCCCTGCGACATTGTGCAATCGTCAAAAGGAGGCCGTCCCTGCTAGTCCCGGTGCAGCACACTTCACATGGTGCCAGCCCGCTGGTTATCTATGGCATTGAGAGGAGGGGGGGAGGAGGGGGAGGATGTAAGACTCACAGGGGGGGGGGAGTAGGGAATGTGGGAGGGCAGAGAGGAAACTTGAAGTCTGACACGCACCGGGGGGAGAGAGACGTCGGTGCAAATGAAGAAAAAAAAAGGCGGAGAAATGATGGATGATGGAGGAATCTGAAGAAGGAAAAGACATGACAATTATTTAATCTAAAAGAATCGTAAATGAGCACTCTGCCCATGTTTACTTTGGCTGGGGCCAGTGCGTAATCTCTGGTTTAGGCAGAGGTTTAAAAGGAGCTGGACTTGCTCTGGTAAACATATAGCACAGCCAAATCCAACACAGTCCGGCCAGGCGGCTGCAAACGAAAAACGTTTGTCTCCAAAACAGAGACGTGTCATTTTTTCGGTGACATTTGAGCGTTTTGTGACGCTGATTTAGAAAAAGGTGCAACCGTGTCTTTAGGAGTCGAACGTTTCTACCTCAGTACGGGTATGTCGTTTTTTGGAGAACTAGTTTGTATGAAGCCATTGAAGTGAGTCCTCCTGGGGTCTATCTTCTCTGCAGCCTGCTGGTTGTCTTGTCTCAATGCTTTGGAAACAACGGGGGGTCCCATGGGTGCTTTCCAGACGTTCCCCCTAGTTTCCGCGGGCCTCCTGCTGAGCTCATTCGCCCTCAACTCAAATGTTGCCCACGATTTTGAAGTCACGAACACGACTCTGGTCTGTGGATTGGAACGTTGGTGGAGAAGAATTTTGATTCAAGTCAGACGAATTCTGCTGCATCAGGCTGATTCAACAGGCCCAGACGGGCCGACTCACCCGCAGAGGCCCCTCGAGACAAAAACGCACGACCAGTTTCTGACGTAGAAGAACATTTTCCCCCCCTTCTCCTTCTACGTGTTGTTAAATTTCCATGCTACGTTTGTGTTTTTACATGCTTCACGTGGTGCACAGGTGGTGTAATAATGAACCTCCTCACTGACTAAAACGGGCTTTTGCAGAGGGGTTAGATTATTCTTTGTAACGGCCAATCCACACGCTAGCCGAACCGATTTGCGGGCGAGCCTGCTTTCATCCAGCAGAGGATTTCACTGCAAATTGATGTGCTCCCTTTTACAATGTCCCTGTCTGAGTACTGATGGAGCCCCAATAAATCAAGGCAATGCCACGGAGATGTGGGAAAGACTTTGCCGTAAATCCCGGCGTGATCATAAATGTAGAGCATCTAAATGTGTCTGTCCACACTACCCGTCCCTCTCTGTTCTTCCTTTTCTCTCCTCATCTCAAACACTCGACATTGATTCAATAGTCGTTCTGAGTATACAGGTTTTTGATTTGGGCCGTCACTGTAAATGTTGGTGAATCGGCATCACATCACATTGTGACAGTGAAAATCCTTGAATAAGAGGATTGCTATGCACTGCATTAAAGACGAGTTGTTGGTCTTCACAACCACATTTGGTCACTTTTGTCACTTGTTTAACCATTTTGACACTATAGTGGTACAATACTACACCATTATACGCTCTCCGCTCTTAAACACTGAAAACGTCCTTAAACAAAGTATTTATTTTGAAGTCATTCGCAGCAACTGGAACTGGAACTGTTGTGTGATTATTATTATTATTATAAATTAACCAGCAGATGAAGAATTGAGGGTTGGTTACACACAAAACGATCCGGTCGCTGTGTGTTATAATGCGGGTGGATGGAATCCAGCGTTGTGATTGGTTGAGAGTGAGTCGCGGGGGCGTGCGCTATTCAGCGATGACGTAGGGTACCTGTTCACATTGACCCGCGCGCTCCGTATCACTGCGCACTCAGAGTGACAGGTTAGATTTTGCGCGACCGTTAGTTGTCATTTAAAGTTTTTAGCTCGGCGGCCATCGCCCGAAAAAAAGACGGGAAATCAACAAACAAATGATCGGTTTCAGGGAACGCGAGCTGCCTCAACCGGACAATTAAGGTGGACGTCATGAGCGACGTAAGTGAATGAGATGCGGCGAGATCTTGCTGTACGTTCATCACACGTACGGGGACTATTTTTCTCTAGACCACTGAAATGCGACACACAACGTTTGGTGGCTAAGACCATTTTGTGCTGAAAGGCAGCTATTTACTTACTATTTATAATTTAGCTGATAACCGTATTATAAAAACAATAAGGTACTTGAGGCAGTACTTTATCTTCAATGATGTAACAGTTCGAGGGCGTTGTTGGGCCCGACGCGCAGTGGACGCACACACACACTAGCATCTCTGCTAATAGGTGATCTGGCTCGATTGGTGATGACTTACGGCTGCCATAGAAACCCCTTCCTCCACCTCCTCCAGCTCCTCCAGCTGGTGGATGCGTTGCTTAGTCCGTATGATCTACAGGGATATGCAAAACACTTCTCACTTTCACGCTGGCTGGGGCTTGAGTTGATATTGCTGATGAAGCAGCGCAGCTGCTTCACTCCTCTATTTTTGCAAATAAATTGTCCCTTTAGGTCACAGAACTCCCCCCCGGGCGACATCGTTTTATGGAGATGACCCCCGTGCCGCCTGAAGTATTCACGGTACTTTTAGCACCTCCAGTCTTCCACCTTGAATCACCACCGTCAGCATTAACCAGGACGTCACGCTGCGGGGGCCAACTGCTAAGTGCATCTATCACCATATGGATATTTTACATGTGCTGAATGCAGGGGCTTTGGTACTCGGAGGTGTAACAACCTCACTCTAGTATAGTCAAAGCTGTTGGAGAATGTGTTTTCCTGCCAAACAGCATCAGATCAGTCTGAAGCCGGCGGCGGTGCGACGCTTGCGTTGACCAGCAGGTGGAGAACTTTCCATGACCTGTCCTACCCTGCAGCCCCCACCCGAGTCCCTCCTCTGCCTCTCCTGGGCTGCCCCTGATGAGAGGAGGTCCTGCACCAACTTCATTCCACCCCACAAAGGGAGAGCACATGCTGGGGACTCGCCAGAGGGATCAGGCAAACAAAGCTCACAGTTCGGACTTATTTCTTGTTGCCGGATCACTTCTCTCCAGTCTGTTTGCCCTGAATGTGATTGTCCTTTTTAGACATGGAAACGTCCTTCGCCGTGAGCTCTGTCCTCCCGTCCCTGCTGCTCTCTCTTCATCTGCACTGCAGCCTCCTCGCTTGGGCCGCGATGGACTCCTGCATCGACGAGGAGGGCGGGCCGAGCCGCTGCATGCCCAAGTTTGAGAACGTCGCCTTCAATCGCACGGTGGTGACGTCCAACGTGTGCGGCTCGCCGCCCGAGGACTACTGCATGCAGACCGGCTCCACGCGCTCGTGCCGCCACTGCGACGCGTCCCATCCGGACCTGAGCCACGGCGCCGGCCTCCTGACAGACTTCCACAGGAACGAGGAGCCCACGTGGTGGCAAAGCCAGTCCATGTACTATGGTGTCCAGCACCCAAGTTCCGTCAACCTCACCCTCCACCTGGGTAAGAGCTCGTCAGCGCATCACTGGTTCAGCCTGACCTCCCGGGAACCCTTCCTTTTATTTACTCCCCTGGACTGTAGTTTGTGGTCAGTCATCTAAGTCAAGCGGATGTGCCCCCGGGGTTCAATTATCGTCTCTGTTACGATAATGTTGTATATAATGTCCTATTTCATTTCAGAGTGCTTGAATGGGCACTGCATTTGCTGCGTCCTGGACTCAAATCTGATTATCGGTAATTAGATTTAGCGCGCTACACAATCCAGGTGGTTTGCAGAGTTGGAGAGTCCGTTGATGGGACTCCACATCGATGCGCGTTAGGTGTGTTGTCCATTTAAGGCTCAAGCGTTTTCTTTGCAACAAGCTTTGAGTCCTGCAAGTCCACGGATGTGGAAATCCATAAAAGAGAACAGCTGTGCTTAACACACACATTCTTTGTATAATTCAGTCCAGGCCCTCAGCTGCCTTCATAAACAAACACTTGGGCCCAGACTTGGCTTGTGCTTGGAGTGGTTGCAAGCACATGGGTTTAAAGTGGGTGAGGAGGACACACTCTTGCATCCGGCCTGCTCGGATAGCAACTGAGTGATGGTGCAGTGCAGGACCAGGTTTAGATTTAGCCACCATGGGCATTGCTGGTGAAATCATCCGAATCTTTCCGCCGTCAGAACTCCTTTTGGGCCGGAACCTGACCAGAACACAGCGAGCACACGAAGCCGTCATAGAAACGTGTAGCAGGGTTTGGACCAGGCAACAGCCAAAAATCAAGCTTTTTGTAGATCTGTTGGATCACAGTGCGCATTTTGTATGTGAGCTATCGATCAGATTACAAATGCATCGCCTTCTCCTGCAGGCAGCAATAATCTCCTGTTCATGTCAGCAATAATCAGGTTTCACCACAACAGATACACTGTGCAACTGACTATAAATCACAAGTACGCCACTTCATTTTTTAGGAAATAAGCAGCGGAGCACTTTTAAAAAAAAAGCCCAGAGTTTGGCCGGAATAAACCTTTGACAAGGAGCCAGCTGAAGTTAGCCACGCATTTACATAAATTGTATTTGGAATCCAAACGGTACACTTACTTTCCAGGCAGGTACATTTCATCACCCCCGCAGCCATTCACTCCTGCACAGCCGGGGACTTGGTCAGCACGCCGACTGTCACCTGAAGTTATGCAATTACCCTGCTGAAGGTCGTCTGAGAAGTTTTGGAGAGAAGCCCCTCAGATATATATTTTTTAAATATTAAATATTAAACTTTTGGAATTCATAAAATGACACCCGTAGGTAACCGTTACCATCAGAATTGAATTAACAGCTAAACAGCCAAAAAACAAACAGCCTGACTGGGCTGGATTGCTCATTGCCGTTTTTAGTGCTTCTAATTGATGCGACTTATGATGCAGTGAGCATGAGTGCGTTGTTTCAACGGAGAACTTCTATGTGGGAAAGATTTGGAGGGTAGGGTTTAGTCACCGTAATGGGAAAAGCGTGAGTTTACATAATTACACTTTGCATAAGCTGAACTTCAAAGTTCAAAAGCAACATGCACCCACGGACCTGCATGGTCCCCGTGTTAGGCGAGGATTTCCTCCTCCACGCAGTCTTTGCCTTTTGCAAAGCGCCTTTGACTTACTTTTCTTACACTGTGTATATATTTGCATCCGAAAGGCATTTCTCCTTTCACAAAAAATGTTATGAGACGAGCTTGAGCCATTAGCATCATTATCTCATTACCGCGCGGTACCAAGCTGCTGAAATGAGTAACACACCACATTTGTCACTTTAACTGAATTAAGTGGTGGCGATTAATGTTACAAAGCATCTATGAAATTACCATCCTGCTACCATTCATTTGCTGAGCTGTGTACATGTGTGTGTGTGTGTGTGTGTGTAAAGGAATGTCTCAGCACAGGAATCTTATGCACTACATTGCTCTCGGCCTCCTTTATTTAATGAACCAACCAACGTATTTTTCTGGTTGTACATTCAATACACTTTTTTTCTCAGTTAGAGGTAGAAATCAGCTTTTCCCACGGTGTTAAATGTATCGTGTCTTTGGTTTAATGCGTTGTCGTCTGGACCAACACCACGCGGAAAACACACAAACGTTGCCAGGTCATCAAGCTTCTCATCTAACTCTTGGCGATGAAGGGAACGAATCAGCTTCTAGGCTTTTCTCCCAAAATATCAAAGGGCTCATTCATGGGGAGAGCAAAGTGTGTGTTTGGACTTATATTCCCTCCCTCCTCTCCCTCCCCCATCCAAAAAGTCCTTCTTCAAAGCGGCCAGAGAGACGGCGACCCGATTGATGGCAGAAGCTGAGAATGTCAGAGCTGTGGGTCAAACTCCTGCGTCACGTCCCGCCGGCGCCTCCGTCAGACGGAGAATATTGATTTCCAATAGCAAGACCATCTCTGGCCATGTTTTCATGCGGCGTTGTTTATAATCTATAGTTGTTTTTGGAGGAAGTCACCAACGTTGCTGATGCAGCGTCTGGGGGGGGCGGCGGCGGGGGGGGTTTCTTCTCCTTCAGACATCTCAACACCCACACGTCTGTTGAGTCAGTCTTGCATTCTTTAAAGAATGATAATCATCTTTATTTCGTTGGTCCAAATGAAAGCTCTGTGATCCATCTGGGCCGGGGGGCCGTGGGGGTTTTGGGGGGGGGGGGGCTCTTCCACGTTAGTGTTTTCTTTTGCCCCTCCAAACAAAACAAGCCCTCTCTCTGAAAGGACGAGAGGCAAATGCTGGGATGATAAACACAGCGGTAGGAGGCAGGGACACATGTTGCAGCCAGGTCACTGTGGTTCTGTGAAAGAGTAGAAGGGAGAGGATGGGGGGGTGTAAACAAAACACAATGAGGAAGAAGGGGGGGGTAGAGAGAGGAAAAGGCCGGGCGGTTTGCTGGTAAGGAATTGGGGTCGGCTTGTTGAGATGCACACAAGACGGTGCAGCTGGTTCTCATTCCGGGCCGCCGAAGACGAGCAACATCCTGCCTCAGAAGTAAAACAAGGATTAAAGTCTGGCCCAGTTGGCGCGACGCTCTCACAGCCAGAACATTGGCGTTGAGTCACAACTCAACATGACTGGGAGATAAATCCACTCATCCTCCTTTTTTTCCGCTGAACACAAAAATCTCAGCTCGGCGTAAACCAATTGTAAATACTGAGTGCGGCACTTGTGGCGAGTTTAGTCTAGAAGGCCGCCGTGTTTAGTTGACGCTAATGACTCGGGGGTTCTGGGTCGCACGCGGCGCTTCTGCAGCTTTTACTCCCAAAGTCGGTTGTCTTTGCGAGTGCGTTTGTACGGTTGGATCTGTGATAGCACGGGTTTCTGGGTCGCTCCGAGTGAAGTGACGCCATGCTGTTCCTCCCGGACTCCCAGGGGCTCAAAGAAATGTTGCTCGGCAAACAAACACAAGCTTTTGCTTCAAACTGAGCAGTCCGAACTGCCACCATACGTGTGTGAATTCTATCCTAAGGCGTATTTCATCAATAGTATATGTGTGTTATTTTGCTTGGATAACATTTGGCAGCTTAAACCCCCTCTGTGGTGCGCGCACACACACACACACACACACACACACACAAGTGTGAACTCCAGAAAGACGATGAATCGCGACTCATTAAACATTATGCAAACCGATGCGCAAATACCATTCGCAATTACTCTGCGTTTCGTCGCAGGACACCCGACAAATGTGTCCTCTTCTGCCTCTTTTTATGTTTTGTGTTTTAGTCCCAGCGGGGCTGAGCTCACCTCATGCAGCGAGCAAACGATCTCAGGGCTCCTAAAGGAAAGATACCATTAGCGACATCTGCAGAGACGAGACGCGGAGCTTCCTCCATCCCACTTGGCAGAGAAAAAGCAACAGATGTCGTTGCGGCTGCACCAGTGGAAAGTGGCGTCCCTCCATGAACGTGCAGCGCCGGCTGAGAGTCGGCGTCTTAACGATGTAGAAAAACATCCCAGAGTGCAACGGCGACGCCCGCTAAGAGAGTTTCTACGCGTTGCTCGTCGTTCTGGTGTCCGTGTGACTTCGATCGGTGTCTGCCTCTGAATGAGGGTTCTTACCCTGCATTGTGTTAAGGCCCCAAAGTGTCCACAGTGAGTAAACGAGGGAATGCCCCACCGAGGAAGAAGAAGGATGAAGCACCGAGGCTCTGTTTGCCTCCATTAGGAAAGAAGACGCCGTCTTTCCCGCAGAACGGAATGAGGCTTTGTTGCAAACCATCAAGGTTCCGCTTTCGTTTTTTCTACACGAGGCGACATTATGCGGCCAAATCAGCAGATAATTCAAGCCATCTGTGTGTGAAATATGTAAAATAAATGCTTGGAGGCATTCTTTCCTAAACTTTACCCCCCCTGCAGCTTGTGATAATCATCCCTCAACTTATCATGCACCTTAAAAACTACTTCACTCGCATCCCTTCACTTATGATGCCACACCAATTACATCACAACTTATTCGGATCTGCTAAATCCCCAAACTGAAATGGAAACCCCTGTGCCGTATCTCCTTGTTCGCTGCGGATCTCCTTCTAGATGAGATTGGACGCTGAAACCCATTTTCTTTCTTCACAGATTTAAGTCATATTTAAGTATAATACAAATCTAAGGAAATGTCTCTCATCTTTTATTCAGTTTCCCTCCTTAAAAACAAATGAAGCCTCACGTTTAACATACCAATCAATAATAATTTTAATTTAATGCCATACCCCCCCCCCCGTGACACTCATTAGGGTTTTTTGCATGAGGGTTGACCTGTCACTTTCCTATTGATTACATCGGCCGCACCTCCGACGTTCAAAGCATCAGACGACGTTGTAAGTGAGCTTCCCTGCTTCTGCACTCATTAGTCTGCTCCGTGCTACAGTTGTTATTAGAAGAAAAACAGACATTTCGTGTGTTTTCCGTTGACCCGCGTTCCACTTCGGGGGCCCATTATAAGCTGGATGATGAGGAAATAATCCTGGCTATTCTTCTACTCCTGCAGGAACCACATTCATTCATGCTGCGTGGAGGCACAGGAAATGAAGCTGGTCCCCCATTGTTTTCCTTCTCACAATAATGCAATTATGTCTTTTTTTTTTCTTTCCTCTGCTCCTGGGCCCTAAACTATCACCCCGCAGCATTTGTCTCTTATACAACCAGCCCTGATCTAACTGTGTAACTACAATGGATCTAGTTCCAGCAGTAACGATTCCATTCAAGGCTAATCACATCTATTCTCCACAGGGAAGGCTTTCGAGATAACCTACGTGCGATTGAAATTCTACACCAGTCGTCCGGAGAGCTTCGCCATCTACAAGCGCACGGCGGAAGGTGGCTCCTGGGTGCCTTACCAGTTTTACAGCGCCTCCTGTAGGAAGACCTACGGGAAGGACGCCAAGGCCTACATCCGCCCGGGAGATGACGAGAGGACGGCTTTGTGCACGGACGAGTTCAGCGACATCTCCCCCCTCACCGGGGGGAACGTGGCGTTCTCCACCCTGGAGGGACGGCCCAGTGCGTACAACTTTGATCAAAGCGCGGTGTTGAAGGTGAGGGCCAATTTGGTTTTGTGTCTTTGCGTGAAAGTGCATTCTTTTTTTTTTAATTTACACATTTTGGTCCACTGCTCCACTCAAAGGAATTTTGCAGAATGATGACAACTGACACACTTGATCTAATAACTGAATGTTTTATTGCAGTGGAATTGATCAGTTTGAATATATAAATTGAGCAAAATCAATATTTATTTAAATTGACACATGTTTTATATAGATAAAATATGAAAAACATCCCGGAACCTTTTGCTTTAGTGTGCATTATATTCAATAACATTGAATCCATATTTGATGATGCACAATCGAGTTGAACTCTGCCATATTCCTTTCCATAAACGTGTGATGAATAATATATGTGAACAAATTACCACACCAAAAAAAGGTTACCATTCACCTGGAGCCACAAAGGGCTGCTCTCATTATGTAGATAGCATTTTGTATGATATCGGGACCAACGCCTCAGGCGTAAACTTTTACAAAAACAAACATATACTCATACACAAACAAGACCTGAAGCCTTTTTTAAGGCAACTGAAGGGAATGCAATGTTATATTTAGCTCTGATTAACATTGATGAAGCTTTGAGAGGGCTGAGCTGAATTAATGGCGGCCTCTTGGGGGAGAGTCAAGGAGGGGTGGACACAGCAAAGCGTGGCTACAAATGAGTAAATATAGCGCTTAATGCCGGCTCTCCTCCTTCTCCTGGAGGGCGATAAGTATGCGTGTGAGCGTCTGACCTCCCTACTTCAGTGAAAGACTTTCCTCTGATAATATCTATAATTATTTCCAGGTGTCAGTATTACTTAGAGCAGCTTACAGGCCAATTGGCACGGAAATATACAGTCGAAATATACGCGTCAAATGTGTTAAGTTAGTAAACATAAGAAGACAAAATCAAAAAAATCAAGATAACATGAAATTTCTACAATAAATCTGTTTTTCAGTGAATACATGAAAGATCAGAGGTTTGCATCCCGAGTGCTGCGTGCGGTTCGTGTTCAGCAACAAATGCACGTTGGGGAAATTAGAAAAAGATAACGGGTTCTATTAAATATTAATGGAATAAAAACGTTCTGTTTTTTCCTTCAATTCAGAACATTTTCTCATTTGAGTTTTTATAATCACTTCCTTTCAGTGCCTGAACATTTCCATGAAAACATGAATATTGCTAGTTATAATAATAATAATTTAGCAAAAAAGATGCAATTATATGTCCCTTAAAAAGTATTTGCTGTTGCAAGAAATAAGTATAAATAAACCGCAACAGCGATACTGCAGTAAAACAATGTAAAGTATGCATTATTAATACCCACCCCACCCGTGATGATTAAAGGATTAGAAATCTAGCTTTCTGTTTCTCAGTTCATAGGAAGTGGACATGCTGTGTGTGTGTGTGTGTGTGTGTGTGTGTGTGTGTGTGTGTGTGTGTGTGTGACATCTAACCTGACATGTAGTGGACGTGGGTCTTCAACAATGACCTTGGAATATTAAAGCAAAAGGCACCATGATCAGTCCGTCGCGTCTTACATGACTTTTCGTCTGAGCGACCGTTCTCCCAAAATGTTGTGAGCAAGTCGAGACGACCAACTCTGTAGAGGAAGCCGTCCTCCTCCACAATCGTTGAATAAGAAGAGTAATGGTGTCTTATGGAGGACGAGTTGAGGGTATGAGGTATGACCCTGCATAACCGTGGAACCTTCTTCTTGTAGTTACAATGAGAGGGTTATTGGAGGGTTTGTGTTGCTCGGCCTCCCAGAATATTTGCAGTGGTCTGCATATGGCTGTTATAAATCAATTTGAAGATGATTTTGCTATAGTACGCCCAGGTTTTTCGATATTCCCCTGAGCTCACTCTCGACGTCTTGAAACTCGGCTGTGAAATATGTCGTGTTTCAAATCTCTGAACGCGACGTTCAATGAAAAACTGCTGAAGCAAACCGCGGACGGACTCGGGGCAGATTAATGGTGTGTGCCGTCGCCAGTGTTTCTGAATTTCTTTATCCAACCATTCCCCCTAACAGATTTAAATGTAGTTTATTCTCAAAAGCTGCAATATGAAGTTAGATTTAAACATAAATACACATTATCCGGCCACCCTTGTTTCATTTACGGTCTTAAACCTCTGTAATTAATGTAAGATTCTAAAAGCAGAAAAGTGTGATGCAGGTTTACAAGCCCCTGGGGCTACACATGGTATCTGAGCCTGCACACATAAACCCCCCCCACTGCCACCCTGACACACATGCTTTCTGTACCGGATGCTGTCTTCTCATAACCCCCTTCGCCGCACCTCCCATCAACCTCTGCACTTTGAACGGCTGACGTGTCTGAGACCCCCCACGGAGTCGAAGGCAGCAGAGTCGTCCCGTTTTCATAACTGGAGGATGAAAAAGGAGTCGGCGGTGGAGCCTCTCCCGCTCTCCAGCTTAAACTGAGCTGCAGTGAGGAGCAGACGTCTGGCAGGACGTTGCTAAGCAATAAGAAGTCCGTAAAAGGCCTGCGGAGAAGGATTCCCAGGCACAAAGATGTTCATCATCCACCACACAGTGTTCCTTTTCTTTACATCCTGCTTTATTAGCTCTACTTCATCATCAATTATAAAAATGCTTTCCATAAAAAGGTAGCAGCAGCTTGCTTTATCTGTTTAAAGATGATTAAACTGATTAATCCCTGCACACACTAGTCTTCTACCGATGAGCTGTTTGAGCCTCTATCAGTTTATACAACTCTGGACTCAACAACCGGCTGGAGAGGACACACACAAATGAGCCGGTTCCGTAACAAGTCATGGAAGAATTTGAATTTACTTTAATACGATTTTTGATAAATTTCAGTTATTTTTGCGAGGAAGAAAAACAAAAGAGAGAAAAATATCTGTCTCTCCCTGACACATAAAACACGAGGAGGATATTTTCTCGAGGTAAATGAGTAAAAGACTTTGTGAGTGAGACTGCCGGTACTCGGCCTTCTGCAGTGTTATCACACCGCGTGCAATGTGAGAGAATCCCTAAAAACAACTTGTTGTGGGAAGCTGTTAATGTTCTGCACACATGTTCTTTTTTTCTGAAGCTTCAGCAGCTATCAAAGCTTTGGGCAGGTGGCAAGAAAGAGGCACAAACCTGACTTGCTTACTTACTAAGAGTCATATTATAAAGAGACAAACTGCACAAAACGGCCCATTGACAGCGTTACTGCTCCCTTCAGCGTGCCAACACGCTGAATTAACACTAAACAGCACGTCTGTAGACTTGGAGGTTGCCGCTGAGGCGACGGCATTCAGCACTTTTAAAGGATTCCACAGGACTGCTCATGTTGAAGGCTGAACTTTTGGCAGCACGGTTAGATTTATTCTTGCACTATATAACGGAAACGGCGAGGTACTCAAACACCTCGTGAATATCCCGGAGACCCCGGCGACTTCAAATGAGCTTTTCCATCGCTTCCGCTACATCGTTGTAGCTTCCGACATCCTTGTTTGGTAATCCAGGAGACTTTGATTCCCGGGAGTGTCCCCCCCCCCCCCCGCGTTTCCAAGCTTGTTGCTGTCTCTTACTGTCCGGGTCGAGCAGCAGCGCAGCGTAGAAGCAACATCATTGCGGTCGTCCTGCGTGTGTGGAAGCACTTTCACCGGCTGAATGGGGGGAAAATACAACTAGGGGACGAATGCATTAGTCAGCGTGTGGAGTTTTATCAGCAGTATCTTTGTTTACAGGCACATGTTTTCCTGCAGCTAACTCAATTCTATTCCATTTGCACTTAACATCCTGTCACATCTCACCCAGGGCATTAAAACTTCTCCTCATGTAAAATACCATTCAATAAATTATTATCGTAGTATTGAATGATTTATTATCTTTGTGGAAAGTAATTAAGATCAGTATCAAAAGTCCAGATTAGATGTGGGAACCGCTGTTCCACATAAAAATAATTGTGGAGGGAGGAAATCCAATGCACCAGATTTAAGCAGTAGCCTCCTGAAGTAAAGATAAACGTTAATTATTTCGCTGTACACAAATTATTGTTGAATTAATGGCCACTGTCAAGAAGCTTTACAATGAACACAATGCATCTTTTCAAGCTGAGTAGCTCGTTACATAATTACGTCTTTATTTACTTTAAAATGAGTTGCAGCCTCTGCAGGATCGCTTCATTCACCAATAACTGGCCCCAAAGGGCTTGTGTTGATTGTAATCACCGTACGGAAATACACAAACCAAGTCCTTCCTTTCTTGTCTATAAATGCAACCTCTTTGCCCCTTTAAAAGCTTCATTACTCTTTCATAACAGCGGGACATGTGGTACTTCTCACTAACCTTGCTTGAACATTTCCAGGTTTTCCATTTCACGCCGAAGCCGCCCCGCGTAAAGACAGACGGCACGGGCTCCTGTGCCATCGGCGTGGGGGCCTTAGAGTACTTACATTAAGACCTGCCTGCTAATGGTGTTGTTGGCTGGATCTCGGTGTGCTTTGAATGACATCGACCCGCTCATTGCAAAGCTGTGGGGGATCAATATAAGCCAAGAATACATAGATTGGGTGGTAAATCTCCCAGCAGAGGTGCCAAACACCCCCGTCTCCCTCGCTCCGCCTTCCCTCTCTGCCGCCCTCCTAAACAACGAGATGAGAAGACCCGTAATTGGCCGTGATCCGTTCTCCCATTAGTATAAAAGGCGAATCAATTGCACAATTTCTTTCATTATATCTGCGATTTCAATTCTCTTTGGACGGCGATGGGACAGAGGGGCATAGCGAGCAAACACGAAGGCCTATCAATGTCGTCACCAGTTGAGATGGAATCCTATGAAAACGAGGAGAAACGGTGCGTAAAACATAGAAGAAGGAGGGAGTACAGTACATGCAAGGTTCTAATAGCTATTGGTTTGAGCAATAAATAACACCTTGTACACAAATCCAGAAAGGCTCTTTTGTTTCCCTCTCGTATGAATAGTGAGTCGTGCATCTGAGAACAGATTTTAGTTTCCATTTGAAGGCC